CTAGCCTTTGTGAAAAATTTACAAGTTTTTCACCTCAACACCGATGTGAATATAAAAAAGAATAGAATCCTCTCAGCGACCACCAAACTATGCGGCAAATTACCGCCACCCTTTTGAATTTACGCGTATCTTGACTGATTGCCAGCCGGTACCCTTGAAAGCTAAGTGCGAACGCACTTACACAATGGCAAGCCCATGTCCCCCTGCCCTAGCCCACCAACAGAAAAGAAAGCAACGTTACCTCCGCGTGACTCTCCCCACTGGACCAACCAAACAATAACCGGCCGGTCTCAGCAGCACAAGCCATCGTCTTGTGCTGAACAACGACAGAACGACAACATTTCGGAGCTTCGCCACCGCGCTCTCTCCTCCCACTTCGTTTGAACACGCCCCGTCGGCTCGGCGCTGCCCCCCCCCCCCGTCCCCCCCTCTCCCCCCTCCCCCCCCACGTCAAACACGTGTCCCTGACGAGGGGTTGGAATGCTGCGGTGTACCGTTTATCACTGCTCACCGGCGGCTCGGCGCCTCGAATTACTGCCACGCTGTGAGGCCCAATTACAGCACATTGCATTTGCGCAGACACACGGCGGGCCAGGGCGTATAAAGATGGGCAGAGGCGGGGCCAGGACACCGGGAAGGGAGGCCCACTGGCAGGAGCGGTGCCAGGGAAAGGGCGGGAGACATTCCCTCCAAATAACTTGAAACGTTGTGTTAAGTCCATGAATACGCGAAAAGAAAGGCCGTTAAATATGTTTAGTTTTCCATAATCTTCAGGAACATGCTTTTGCTTTCCGGAGCTAGACAGTGAAGAAAACAAAGGAGATTCACGCGAAATGAAACAAAAATACTGCGAAGACATTTAGCACGAACACCAGGGGAAACGAATGCATATTGAGAAATGGGGTAGCGACGAGCTGGTCGTGTTTCTTAGGTGATTTGGGATCCGAATCCCCGGATCTCTCCGCGCCGAGCATACCTGGTCCATGAACACATATCATCTTTCTTGTTTTACGTCTACCGGCTGTGGCTGGGTGAAAGGTAAAATTTTACCTTGGACCAGTTGGAGACAAGATGAGCCAGTGAATGTCCGGTGTTTTGTACCCCAGTATTGATAGCAAAAAATTGATGCGTGCCGAAGATGCCTAAATCAGTCCAAGGCAAATAAGTCTATGGCCGAATCAGCATTTAGAATGCGTGCCCATCGGCAAATAACCAGAAACATTGGGTGGATCACTGATAAAAGGAATCCTGGTACATTCAAAAGGCATGCTAAAACAAGCAGTGCATGACTAGCTTTACACAACAGCTGTGTCTCCATTGAGAAAATGATAGCATGTCGGCATAAGTCCGACATTTGACATAATGCACTTATTCGCATTTTTGCATTTTGCACTTTTACATTTTGCTCTTTCGCATTATGCACATGCCATGTGCAGTTGACCTATGCCCAGTTACAAGTGATCAACACTGCAAAGATCAGACGGTGTTTCGCTCATCCGTCCTGACCATATCCTTGTGGGACTTTATTAAATCATCCTCTGGGCGCTGTCAAACCAAAGGAAGTTACTTAAATTGTCGGACGGCGGCTGTGTGATGCGGCCGAATGGGCAAAGCGTGTAGGGAGCTCAAACGAGACACAGGACGGTTAAAGGACTGCCAGCTACGTCGGGACATCCACGCATTTTGCGGATCCGGGACTCACAGCAGCAACAACTGCACGATTAGGTCTATGTCATGTAGAAACAAATTGCATCCAAGCAACGTCATCTGTGGTTGTTGGAATACCTCACTATCATTTTCGGAAATCTCACCCATCGATGAAGCACGCGTAGCCATAGATTAAGTACACGAATGCTACTTCACACACTTCACACGTGCACGCGACACTTCATCTATTGTTATGGTCGAATCTGGCTCACCCGTGACGGCAGCATCGCAACACTGATGGCGTGCCCCTGCCCGACGCCGCGTGGCTCAAACCCGAAGGCGGTCACACATCTTCAGCGGCCGTCGCTGAGCGTTCTGCAATACGCTCGGTCTCGGAAAGACGCGCGTGCGCAGCGAGACGTGAAAACCGTTCGGAACACCTTGCTTGAATCGCTTGAACCTTGAATACATTGCATAACCGTAGAGAGTGCAAGAGTACAACAACAACAACAACACAACCGTACAACCGTACAACAACAACCGTAAGAGAGCCGGGCGCGGTTTCATATTGAGTTGGTGGGACTTCAGCCCTCTCCTCCCGAAAAAAGTGAGGCCCAGCCCCAACCCCAGCTTTGAGACAAAAGTTGGTCAAGTCTGTGGAGAAATCCGTCTGTTCGCGTATTTTAGGGTAGGTTTCTTCAAGTAGGTTTCTTCACAACTTACGTAGGTTTCTTCAGTTTTCATCGTTCAGTCCGCTCAACGCAATTCGCGGAACTACGCCCCTGACAGAGCGCAAGTCTGTAACACAATTTTGTTCACAGAAGGCGTCTGTGGTGGCTTCACATCTCCCCTGAATGTACCCAACATCGCGTTCTTTCCCGCTAATTGGGGCCATTTCCCGGACAATTGCTGTGGTCACGACGACCTTGTCAGCAGCGCCGTTGAGGTCGCCCGGGAGTTGGCACCTGCCCAGGCGGCATTTCCCGCTGCCATTGGCTGAGGTGGGACGCCCACCGTGGTCCCCCAGAGGTCACAGGTCACACCGCCACGGGACGGGCAGCTGCCTGTGACTCAACTGTGACTCACAGCTGAGCCATGACTCGGTCGCCTCGGACAACCGCAAACGTGCTGTGAACACAGGTGAATCTCGCCGGATGTCTCCGCATGCTGGCTGCATGCTTGCGTCTGGGCTGACCCGCAGAACATTGCATTCTCCGTTGGTAGAATCACTGGAGATACGTATTTCAGGCTGGATCAATGTGTGCCAACCTAGAAGTCCGCGGCATATTCTTGCCACGGCATCATGATGAATGATGCTATTTCTTTCCTCCTCCCCTCTCTCTCCTCTCTTACCTCTCTCTCCTCTCCTCTCCTCTCCTCTCTCTCTCTTCCTCTCTACACCCTCTCCCTCTCTCACTCTCCTCTCTTCCTTCTCTCTCTCCTCTCGTCCTCCCTCCACGCTCTCTCTCTCTCTCTCTCTCTCTCTCTTCTCTCTCTCTCTCCTCTCCTCTCTCATCTCTCTCTCTCTCTCTCTCTCTTCTCTCTCTCTCTCTCTATCCTCTCTCTCTCTCTTCTCTTCTCTCTCTCTCCCCCTTCCTTGACCCACCCTTTCCTCTCGCTTCCTCCCTCTATCTGGTCACTCCATCCCTATCCTTCCCTCCCTCTCTCCCTTCCTTCCTCCTACCTCTTTCCCTTCCCCTCCCACTACCCTCTCCCCTCCCTCCCTTCCTTCTCTCCCCTCTCCATCTCCCGACGGGGGCCGCCCGCTCCCGCTGCCCCCGGTGCCGTCTGCACCTGGTGCTGACTTCGTCTCTCCCACCAATCACCCCGCGACAGGAGCGCGGCGCGCGTCAAAGACGAGACCCCGTACCCGCATTAGGGAGGATCCGTAGTCAATTGTGCGGGGCGGTGGACGAGCCGCCTGCCGGCCACAACAATAGTCTGCCGACTCTGCGGAAGACATGAGCGGGGACGGCAGGCGGAGTGAGGCGGAAGAAAGGAGAGATTATCGGGGTCTTTCAGCGCACCCGTGGGGACAATACAACATTCGGCTGCATTTACCGTTAGCGGACTCTGGAGCGGTGAGGCGTTTGGTAGCCATGCTGTACTCACTGGATCTACGATGCACCGCATCGCGCATCATGTGCAGCTGCTGTATAAATGTGCATTTACAAATACGTGTCCAGTGGTCCGAATAGCCAGCCAGGACGAATACGGTTTTAAAATTAAGTACCGAACAGTACACCTTGGGCATGATATGTTTTTAAGTGGATGCTTCCTTCTCAGCGAGCCAGTAAGTTCAAAATTGCTCTCTTCTGCAGAAGCGAGTTATTGCATTGCAGTGCGTCTTACTGGTTATTTGCGTTCGTGGGAGGGAGAGGGAGAGAGGAAGTGTTTGGGAGGGAAGAGACAGAACGAAATAGCCCAGTGGAGGCAGTGTTTGTTCCACGGCCGTGTGAGGAGACGCGTGACTTCGATCCTTGCTCTCGGCTAAAGTTTGGTCGTCCTCGCGGCAGTCGGCATATGTGACTAAAGGCTAAATGTCCTCGAGGCTAAATGTCGAGGCTAAATGTCCTTAGGTGTCAGTTGTATCACTAACACCAAGAATGATCGGGACAGAAGGAGGAAAAGTGTGATATGGAGAAGAATGGAAAGAGAAAAGGACATGGTGAGGAAGAGGATGAGAGCAAGAACGAGAATAAGGGAGAGCAAGTCCGCAGAAAGGAGAAGGGAAACGGAGAAAAAGAGGAAAAGGAAGAGAAAAGGAAAAAGAAAAGAGAGGGTGAGGAGGGTGACGTGGGGAAGAAGGAAACAGGGAAATACCCCAAAAATAAAATGTGGAGTTGGGTGGGTAAGAACGTGCAAGAAAAAAGAATGCTGTCACTTGTAAGTGCCACACAGGTTATTTTATATAAATGTATTGCATTTGTCGACAAAACACGTGACACACTACACTAGCTTCAATATTGAGCCTCAAGCCTTTGCCGTAGGTTGCTACTCATCCTTTCTCTTCAAGGAACATTTAACGCATTCTTGCTGCCCATGAGCTATAAAAAGGTTTTGCCATCGATTACGTAAGCATGATTACGATAAATCGACGAATCGACAAATGCAGTCGCATAGCGGTCTCAGGACATTTCAACTCAGTATCTCGCCAATAATGGTCCCCATTATCAAAGACTCTGCATGCCTTCGCCTTTTCTACTCCAGTTTTCTCATGCGAATGCCACCGCAATTACCAATGGTATACCATGGCAAATGCCATCGAGGTGACCGACTGTCGAGAGGCCGTAAATATCACAATAAACTCAGTTGTACTTAATCACACGGGCTGAGTCGCTGACGCCGCACCATCAGCAGAGCTGCAGCTGCAGGGCCGATATGTACTCCATGGCCATCTGGAGCGTCTCGTGCTTGGAGAGCTGCGACTCGCTCCCCTGCGGCAGGTGGTGCCGCAGCAGGTCGAACGCCTCGTTGAGCCGCTGCATGCGTCGCCGCTCGCGGCAGTTGGCGCCCTCACGGCGCCGGCGCCACACCGCCTCGCTGGCCGGCGCGCGCCGCTTCTTCCTCGGTGGCGGCGCCCCAGGTTCGGCCGAAGCTGGTCGTCTCTCAGACTGCTCGGCAACGCCGACGACCGACCGTGTTCGTGGTGGGGGATCAGGGGTGACGGAGATCCCATGCGGCAACCGAATGACGGCAGGTTCTGAAATGGAAATGGCGGTTTAGATGGCATTGTTGCACGTGGTTGCTTCGAGGCGTTGCTCAGAATGCCCCCAAGATAGAAGTCTCAGAAGTGTTTGATTACGCCGACGTCACAAATGCTAAGAATAAATGCATGTGATCCCCAGATTTCCGAACGGTCGTGCTACTTAACACCTATCCATAATGCAAAAACTGCCCCAAAATGTTCGGACGTTGACATGCAATTTCTGCCTTGTCTCTGAAAGTGCAACATCGCTCTTATCTGATTCGAAACACAAGGAGACATATAGCTATAAGTTGTAACGGAACTTTCCTACTGAAATGCGCAGCTTGTATGCGCTAAACTCAAAAAGTAATTTCTTGGATTTCAAGCATCGCAATTATTATCTCACAGTACTATTTTGCAATAACACTTTCTTCAGAGATTTTGGAGATGCTCAATAAATGTACAGCTTGGGGGAACCTCTCCAATGGCGGACATGAAAATCCCGTCAGGCATACGTAAACATATGATATGCTGTTGACTGCAAATATCACAAGCCTGCACGAACCAGAAGTTGCTCTGGGGATTCAGCCACGACATTTTTTCCTGGCAGCTTGCATGCAAGGAAGCAACTTACCTCCCTTGACGGAAATAGCGTGTGCTTCCGGATAACTGCAGTCCATCTCAAAGACTCGCTTCATGTCCTGCTTCACGCGTGAAGTCATGGTGTGTGCAGAATGTAACAGCGGTACCCTGTAGTGCTGCATCCAGCGGTCTCCGTCATCAAGCGTGATACCACTGTCGGGGCTGTCCGGCAGCGTCAACGCCATGCCGTCTTCGTCCTCGCGCCGCGCTTGCCCACAGAGACCTCAACTACCGACCGTCGGTGCTAGCGCCCTGTCCTCCACTGCAGTCTCCGTCGTCTCCCCGCCGGCACGCGTCGACCAAGCCGCGATTGGTCGCCGTCCGCGGAGGGGGCGGAGCCTATCGGCGACGACGTCGTCTGCCCAGCCGTTTCTGCGAGACAGCGCTTGCGGACGGCGCGCGTCTGCCTGGCGGTGAGGGGAAGAGTTCGCGGCGAGGGTCAAAAGACGGAGTCAACCCCTGGTTACGGCGACCGCCGAAAGCATCACGGATGAGAGAAAATGCTGGGGCGATAGAGCACACGCACAACGCATGAAGCTTAACATGATGTAATGATATCTATTACTGGTGGAAGCAGTGAATATGATGCACATTTGGCACCTTTCAACCGATAAGAAAGCAAGAAGTGAGATCGCCGGGGTGCCGCTTAATGAAATTAGCTTGATGGTGTCTGTGATGGATCTGAAATGTAATTCCTATGCGAAGTTGAGAGAAGACTCGGCATTTTTCTCGATCAGGAACTTTTCTTTTCAAGATAAAAAACTTTCTTTTCTCGACCAAGATCACCTGCTTCCAGCAGCTTCCCCGTCCACAGTCATATTTCGGGCTGGTTCCTCAGACTCGAGCGCAAAGCGGATTACACCTACGATTCTGGGCGAGCTAACCGCGTCGCAGACCAACACTACTAGAGCAGACACTTTCTGAGATTCTGAGAACCTGCTCCGCTCCGCACGGGCATGTTCTCGGAAAAAGCCCACTTTGGCTTGCACGCCACAGGAATATGTGAACTAATGCATAATGCAGAAATATATACACCGTAGTTGCAAAGCAGAAATAAGCAGGAGGCATCCATTCACAAGCATTTAAGTGGCTCCTCCACGCCTGAACACGGTCGGCTTAGGTAAACCATTTTCACTTCAAAGCTGCATCTCAAGATGCCATTTCGTATTCTCTTGCATTTTCATGTCACTCAAGTTAGTGATTTTCTCAGCTCTGCGGAGGAAAATGAGTGAGTACTTAGGTCATAACTCACAATGTCTGAAAGGAACGGACGAGGCACAAACCTTAGTAACTCCGAAATGTTGCAGATGCGCCAAAAGGCATAAATGATGCGGTAACCGTCGTGCTATTCCGCAAAAATTGCATGCAAAGGGGCGTTGAAACGCCTGTAAAATCTGATAACCAAGAAATACCGGCAACCAAGGCCATGACAGCAAAATTGAAGGTAGTGAATTTAGCATGAGAGGATTAATTCCATTATGGGCAGTAATTTTTGTTGCAGTTTTTTAATGTCATTAATCTGTACGGTCAATGACCTTGGCGTTTCTTTCCGGGTATTCCCCAAAGGCTGGTCATCATCTGAAGCCAGTCTCACAAACCATCTGGCTGCCATTCACCTACTTCAAGCATGTCATCAGTCATCAGTGAGACATGACCTGTAGATAACGTGACTGATGAACAATGATTACTGATCAATGACCTTGATGATGTCAAATGACATGGCAAATGAAATGAAGCAAAATGAAACAAAACAAATGAAATGATAAAAACGGTCAAAGACCTTGGTGTTTCTTTCCAGGTATTCCTCAAAGGCCATTGATGAGCAATGATGATGAACAATGATCACTGATGACGGCACAATATTGCAGGTAGCCGCTTGATATTAGTAGCACTATATTACCAATGGAGGTATTCTTACGCTATGTAATTCAATTTATGAATTGTCCAATCTGAACCACTCAGCATGGATCTTCAGACCTTTACGTCGTCAAATATGACCGAGGTCTGAGCTATTTAGAGGCAATCACGAGCGACCGGAGTGCGCGGGACCGACGCACCCCCCCCCCCCCCCCTTCCCCGCCTTTGGCAAACGCGAGTTGTCGACAGTGAGAACCTCCTCCCCCCAATTGAGAAGCGGGTGAGGGCCTTCGCATTAGGGAAGGCCCTCACCTACAGGGAGTCTTTTACACACGCTCGGACGTGTATTCCTACCCCGGCATCCATAAAACATTATACAGACACGCGTAATCCCATGACTTACGTCCAACTGTACTCAGGGGCTTGCTTAGGATTTCACGGTGGGGAGGGGCGCACTTACAAAAATTCACCAAATTTGAAAAATAAAGTACACCGCTCCGAGGACGCGCATTTTTTTCTCCGTATGTCGTAAAATAACATGGCATGCTTTCGATCTTATTCATACGTGTAGAGCCGTAATTTTTAACTGCCAGCGTTAAGTCATGCACACATTAATGAATCTCACAAATTTTGATAGGGGGCCATGTGTCCACCGAGGCTTCTAAGAACGCACACCCTGCACATTCTTTCCAGGGGTTCAAATTTTGAACTCGTGCTCCGTGCTGGTGCTCCCATACGTAACATGGGGTTCTTCCAGATAAAGACCTGTCATCTGAAGCTGTAAAAAAGTGAAGGCAAATACAAGTCCAGGTATGCCTTTATGGTTACCAGAATTGCTTGTGGTTTCCAACGGCGTAGCACACACAGGTGTAGCTATTTGTGGACAATGACTGGCTCTACTTATTGGCGATAGTTATAGTTGCGCGGTAAGTACGCACTCATTGGAATGTATCGCACATACAATTTTTCAGTTCTGGGATATTGCAGAATCCCGGGATTGCAAATTTGAAAATACCAGGAGGCCTAGATTAAAAGCAGCTCTGGAACAGATATTTTTGGTTGAAAAAGCAGAAAATTGGCAAATCGTCACCACAAGCTAAACACATCTGCTTCAGAAGCTATCATGTCCTTTCCCCAAACCAAGCACGTGTTCGATTAAAAAAACTGGACAACGTTTTAAAATGAGCATAAAAATGAGTTGATTCAACACTGATTTGGGAACGCTGCTGAGCAATTCAAATGTGATTTAAGTCCGAACCAAACTCGCTGTTTTGCTCGGACCATGATCTACTGGGTCACACATTAAGCAAAGAAGCGCACATTGCATCCTTAGCTGATAAACAATGATTCATAGCCCGCTTAGTGACAACACAGGAGGGTACAGCGGAAAAACATGCTAAATGGTGGGAGCAATGAAACCAGAAATTGGATTATCCAATATAGCATACAATTCATCAAAATTCCAGTATATATATATATATATATATATATATATATATATATATATATGTATATATATATATATACATGTTTATATGTATATATAACTTACATAAAGTAGACTTAAGCTTTAAGTGTGATAAAGCGTGACATGCCGTTTACTTTCATTTGTCTGTATTTAAGACGATCAACTAAGGCATACATATGAAGCGTTTTTTACAGACTTGGATCAGCCAAATACGAGGCGACGTAAACACTGGGCTGCACAAAGAACAATCCTCTGTGCTACGTTACACTAGGTGTGTGGGTGTCTAGTCACTGACTGTTAACATCTTTTGCTTGACCTGGATAGCCAGTATCTATTTGGCTATTGAACTGAACTCAGTTCAGGTGCTATTGAATGCCACCATCGGGTAATAGGAGGAAGCTGCACTGTATGTGCATCTGTGGAGGTGGTGTCTATGTAAGAGTCATAGTCCTGGATTGGGTTTTTGTGCACCTCAGTGAGATAGTCTTGTTGTCTCGTATGACAGGCCTCCCCAATGAGGCATCATAGATCAGGGCTGTCCTGACAGAATTTGGTGGAACAGGTAAGCATCTGCGAGAAGCCCAAACAGGATAAAATCTTTTTACTCCGGTGTTTTAGAATATAGGGTTTGAATCAATCCATTGTTGCCTCTCGCTGACTGAGCACGATTCCGTTATATCCATTTTTTAGAGAAAAACTAGTTCATTTCATTTTCTACTCCACTTAATTTTTGCGAAAGAGTCAACTTATTGGCAACTCATCGAAACACAAGATGTGCTCGATGGTCATTGATCGCTTCATTCAAGTACAGGGTCTATCTCAAACGCACCTCGCATGCTCTCCTCCTACTACTGATGAAC